TTTTTTGACTGCATGTAATATGTAATCATCACCACAATCAAGATATAGAGCATTTGCATCACCCCAAAAAGTTCCCTCTTGCCCCACTGAAATCAATTTCCTTTTCCTAGCTCCTGGCCTCTTGCAATCACTGATCTGCATTCTTTCTCTGTAATTTTGTCTTTTCTAGAATTTCATATAACATAATCACATATTATATAGTCTTTTATGTCTGTCTTCTTTCATTTAGCAAATGCTTTTGAGATTCATTCACGTTGCTGTGTATATCCATAGTTCCTTCCGTTTTACTGTTAAGTAATTTTCCATTGAATAGATATAGCACAATTGGTGTATCCCTCCATCAATTAATGAATATCCAGTTTTGGGCTACTATGAATAAATATGCAATGAACATTTGCATCTAAGTCTTTGTATACATACATGTTTTCATTTCTCTTGGGTAAATACCTACAAGTGCAATGGCTGGGTCATATGTTAAGTGTATATTTAACTTAATAACAAACTGCCAAACTGTTTTACAGAGTAGTTACACCATTTTGCATTTCCAGCAACAGTGTATATGGGTTTTGCAGCGTCTCCACATTTTCACCAACATTTTGTATCATCAGTCTTCTTAATTTTAGCCATTCTAGTAGTGACAGAGCAGCTTTATATGTACTTATTTGTCATTCTTTCCACTTCCTTGGTGAAGTGGAAGAGTCCATACACACGCCCATTTTTAAACTGACTTGTTTATTTTCTTATAATTGAGTTATAAGAGTTCTTTATATATTTTGCATACAGTGCCCTTATTAGATGTATGCTTTGCAAGTATTTTCTCCCAGTCTGTAGCTTGCCTTTTCATTTTCTTAACAGTGATTTTAAAAGAGCAAACATCTAAAATTTTTATTTAGTCCAATGTATTAACAAGATTTTAATGGTTCAAGGTTTTGTATCCTATCTAAAAATCTCTAGCTTATTTAAGAACACAAATATATTCTTCTGTCTTTTCTTCTTGAAGATTTATAGTTTTACCTCTTGCATTTAGATTTATGATCCATTTAGAATTAATTTTTGTATAACTTTACCTGTGATTTCACATGGGTAAATTACTTTTTAAGTATTTATCTTAGCAAACCTCACGTACAAAAATATATGTTTATAACATTGTTATGACTCCACTGTACACTATTTAGCTTGAAGCATCATACAAATTAAAATAATCTGCTTATATTGAACTACAGAGATAAGGGAAAATTTCTTATTAACTTGGAACAGCATGGAGTTGAAAGTACATTTATCTAACAACCACATTTAAGACCAGCTTTAGGCCTTTGTTCTTATGACCTATTTAAATTCTCTTATGGTGGAAAACTTGGCAATTGACATATGAAATAGTAAATTTTAATGTTTTCCTCTCTAAAAACAGGAAACAATTTACTTTTTAAAAAATACTTTACTGTGTTTTAGGTGAAAGTATACACAGCAAATTAGGTTTCCATTTAACAATTTTTATACAAATTGTTCTATGACATTGGTTACAATTTCTACAATGTGTCAGCATTTTTATTATTTCCATTCTGGTTGTTCTGTTTCCATTGATCTAGTTTCCCTCCCCCTCCTTGCCTTCTCCTCTTTGCTTTTGGGTAAATATTAACCATTTGGTCTCATATAGTTGATTGTTTAAGGGAGCACATTAGTCATGGATGATACTATTTTATAAGCGAATCTGTTATTTGGCTGAAAGGTGACTTTTAGGAGTAGCTTCATTTCCAAGTTCAAAGGTATCTTAGGGTGACAGTCTCGGGGCTTCCTCTAGCCTCTGTTGATCCAGTAAGTCTGGCCTTTTTTAAGAATCTGAATTTTGTTGTACATTTTCCTTCCATTCTATCCGGGACCTTCTATCATGTCCCTGGTCAGTAGTGGTAGCCAGACACCATCTAGCTCTCCTGGTCTCACGCTAGAAGAGGCTGTGGTTTGTGTGAGCTATTAGTCCTGCAAACTAGCTTCTTCTTTGAGTCTTTGGTTTCCTTCATTCTCTTTTGCTCCAGATGAGCAGAGACCAATAGTTGTATCTTTGATGGCAAACCAGTTTACTTTTAAAATGAAAGGGAATTTCTTTATGGAAGACTATAGTGGCAAAATTGTTAAACTGACATTCAATACCTGGGAAGAGGAGTAGAAGAACCTGGAAAGAAGGTTCTTCTATTTAGGAACCATTTCCTTAAACAACTTAACAACCAATCAATGTGTAGGAAAGACCAGTATATTAAAAAATGAGAATAACATCACCATTTCCCTCCAAAATGACAAAGAAAATAATGGTGGAAGTTGGTGTTCACCACATAGCCCACAATTTTAAGCCAAAATAAAGGCTAAGAAAGTCAAATTGAAAGGGATCTACAACTACAAGAAGACTATCTTAAAAATTAAAGGAACAAACTACTGATACATATTAAAACATGGATGACAACGTTATGCTAAGAACATTATGTTAAGAAAGCAGACTCCAAAGACTACATATGATCGGATTCCATTTATATAAAATTTCCAGAAAAGACAAATATTTAGAAACAAAAAGCAGATCAATGACCATGTGGGGCATGGGGTGGGAGAAGGGATTCACTGTTAAGGGGCATAAGGGAACTTGAGGTGACAGAAATGTTCTAAAACTTGACTGTGGTGATGGCTGCATAACCCTATAAATTTACTAAAAAATTATTACATTGTGCACATCCAATGGGTGAATTTTATGGTATGTAAATAATAGTTCTATATTTCGGTTAGCAGCCAAGCACTTAACCACTGTGCCACCAGGGTTCCTCTATGGTATGTAAATAATTATTATTTCTCAATAAAACTATAAAAAAAACATAACCAGCAAAGAGTAGAAGGTGGGAAGGTATGGATCAAGTAAGTTCGGCAATATAGTTGTACTTGTTGAAGCCAGGATAATGGGGGTTTCTTATACTATTCTTTCCTTCTTTGTGTATGTTTGAAAACCTTCAAAATAAAAAGCTTATATATATATATATATATATATATATATATATAAGAAACGCATAATGTACACTCAGTCCCCCCACACCCCCGCCCCAGCCAAAGAAACAAACAAAATACTAGATAAAAACTGCTTAGATGCCTCTCAGTAATTTGGGGATGCTTTCACAAAACTTAGAAAGACTGGAAACTATGAGAGAGAATTTCTAGTCAAAAGAATAAAGTAAGGTTATGACTTTTGATGTCATAAATGAAATACTAAGCAACTAAAAAAATTCTTACCTCTGCTAACATGCACTTCAACTCAACAACGCAAGAAAACATTATAGAAAAATCATGTTGGAAGGTCTATCTGTTTTGGTTTTACAGTTAACTTGTTACCCAGTGTTTCACTCTATGTAAATTATCAGAACAACAGAAGCAGAATAATATACTCAATATACTGATTGCCATAAAATACCTTCTATCATCTACTGATACTCTAGCTAGAAATTTCCAGGAGGAGAAGACAGTATCTCTCCAAGAAAAGAGAGGAAGGAATTACACCATTCTTCAAGGGCCAGCACTGCTGCATATAAAAACAGATGGAAATTATTTATCTGGCTCTGATGTACCTCACATAGAAGGAACATCGAAGGGAAGAACAAACTGTTGAAAGGAAGAAAGGCATTTTTCCTTCATTCATAATAATTAGAAGCTTCACTCTCCATTTATTTCAAACAAAGGAGTTGAGAGTCATGGTCAATCACCAGACTTATGACCAGTCGGAACTGACTCAATGGCAACTGGTTTTTACCGTTTCTGTATCATCATTCTTCAGGTTTATCAAAAGTTGGGAGATAGGATTAAAAGAAAATAAAAGTGAATTTCAATATACCCAAGACAGGGAGGTTTCTATAAAATATATGATGAATAAAGGGTTTTTATTCTTTATATTTATAAATCCTATAAATAAGAGACAAACTTCCCAACAGAAAAAAGGGCACCAAATGTGAATAGGCAACTCATAGAAGAAATACAAATTTACCAGTGAAATTTGCCAGCCATTGGCAAATATGAAAAAAAAAAAAAAAATACCACCACCATATTCTGGTGAGGTTGTAAAGGAAACAGCAAAATTTGTTAGAGGGAATTTAGTCAAGGTTGTTTCTGAAAACTGATTTGGCAAGATGTATATATATTTCATTTGAGTCAGCAATTGAACCTCTAGGAATTTCTCCCATAGAAATAACTATATTAAGGAAAGATGTATAAGTAAAGATTTCACACCAGCATCATTAAGAATAGCAGATATATGTAGATATATACACAGAGATAAGTCTGGAAACTACACAACAAAATGTTAACTGGGGCTCTCTCTGGGACATGCGGTTTTTGGGAAAATTGCAACATTATTTTTTCTTCATACTAAGTTTTCAATAATGAGTAAAAATAGAACACAGTTAAAACTATTTTCATTTTGAGAAAAAAAAACAGAAGCAGCCAATTAATCAAGCAACAGTTCTTTACTCTCCATCTGTGTCATTAAGGTCGACTCTACTTTAGGATGCAGCTCTTCCCCAGTCATATTTTGAGCACCTTCCAACTTGAGGTGCTCATCTTCCAGGACTGTATCAGACAATGCTCTGTTGTTATTCGTAAGGTTTTAACTGGCCAATTTTTTTAGAAGTAGATCTCCAGGTTCTTCTTCCTAGTCTGCCTTAGTCTGGAAGCTCCGTTGAAACCTGTCCATCATGGGTGACCCTGCTGCAAAAGACCTCTTTGAAGTGTTAAAGTAAAGCTGTCACTTCGAAGATTAAGGTGCACCTGATCCAAGCCATGGTATTTTCAATCACCTCATATGCGTGCAAAAGCTGGACAATGGATAAGGAAGATCTAAGAAGAATTGCTGCCTTTGAACTATGGTGTTGGTGAGAATATTGAATATACTGTGGACTGCCAGAAGAATGAACAAATCTGTCTTGGAAGAAGTACAGCAAGAATGCTCCTTAGAAGGGAGGATGGCAAGACTTTGTCTCACGTTCTTTGGACATGTCGCTGGAAAAGGACATCATACTTGGTAAAGTAGAGGGTTAGTGAAAAAGAGGAAGACCCTCAACGAGATGGACACTGTGGCTCCAACAACAGGCTCCAACACAGCAACGATTGTGAGGATGGCACACAGGACTGGGCGGTGTTTAGTTCTGTTGTACACAGGGTTGCTATGAGTCGGAAGCGACTCGACGGCACCTAAGAATGACAACCTTTACTCTCTTAACAATTTTCTACTCCACACCTCATTCTTTATACCCCCCTTTTTTTCCTTCATCTTCCCAACTATGCCTTAAAACAGTTTTGAAATTTTTGGTTTCTTTTCTCTCTCAGGGCATCTTCTCAAGTCTATAAATGCATAGTTTACTAACACAATGGGTGTATCACTGTTTGAACAAATAATGTAATTTAAGCAAACTAGTATCTCAGCAATAAAAAGACTATCTTCACTGAATAGTGTAACTGCCTACTTTATCATAATCTGACAACAAAGAAACACTAATTTGCAGATTTTTTTTTCAAAAGAGAAAAGAAATAACTTCAGACCATAAGGAAATGATGAGTTATTACACAAAAGATTGTTTCTGGGTGTATTGATCCATAAAAGATTGAGCTAAGGTGCAAACATAACACACCTATAGCAATGAGTAGCTTCTCAATTCTCCAAGAGTCTGTAAGAAGTAACTCATGACAACTTTATTCTGTGCCTAAAGCAGAAAGCCTACAGCAGGCAATGCCATATACCACTGGTGAGGTCTGCATGCTGCTTTCTGTTCCACTGTACAGACATAAAGCATAGTAGCAAGCTTCAGTCATCATTTGCTATCCATGCCCAAACTGGCTCCTCTGAGTTGTTTCCTCTTGTTTATAGGGCAGACTTGTTCTTTAGGTGACCTGTCAATTAACTCTGAAATATTCAGGGGGCAAGTGACAATTTTCATTGTTTCTCTCATATCCTCTGACAGCTGTCTTCAGTTTGGGCCAAAATATAAACCACAATATTTCTACCCACTGGCTCCCAGTTTAACAGTATATTGCCTCAGTATTTTCTTATTTATTACAGCATGTTGCCTGAATAGTTTAATCTCTTGTCTGTGGCCATAATCTTTTTCTGTCTTGGTTTATCTTCTAAGATTTTTAAATGAAATAATACATCATCTTCTCAGACTCCTCATTAGAAAGAGAAAATATTGGAAAGCTTTTGGGATTAATAGACAAATGTACAAGGGCTTCTCTGAGCTTTTAATCAGTCCTTTACAACAAGTACCCCACACTAACGATTTAAATGACTTAATGATTTTTGGCAAAACAGGAACATTCAATCTGCTCTCACACTCTAGAATATCTTCGATACTGAGAATCACAAAGAAACACTGTGTGAGTATGTGTGTGTAAGAAAAATCCTAGACAGCTATAGCTTCAAGAACATATTTTTATGAAATATGGTGAATACAAAGGACTCTCCATGACATACTGCGGAGTATCCTGCTGAAAGCATCTCAAGTGAGTCCTTCTTGATGGTGCCACTAGGCTTGGAACGAGTTGGGCTGCAAGAAGAGGAGAGTGACATTTCACCTGCAATTTTCAAGTAAGGACAGAAAACCCTTTCTGCCCTCTGCAGCTCATAAGCTTATTTTTCTGTTCATGACTGCACACAGCAGACAGATCTAGTCTTTCTGCTTTTCTTTCTTGTAGAATGATTTCCCTAAAGCCAATGTTGGGCAAAATGCCACTAATACCACCATAAAGCCCCTGCAGTGCTTCAAGGGGGAGGCAAGAGATGGCGAGTTAGGAGGTAATCAAGTTTACAGATTAAGGCTTACCAAAGCTACAAGATGAGCACAGCTCTTGGTGTTTATTAACTCTTCTAGCACTGAGCACTCCTCCCCCACAAAACACAATGGTCTTCTCAACAATGGACTTCAAAGGCAGGCCTGCTTTGACTTTAGCTTCCAAGAACAGCATCTCTACTGGGGTTTTCTGTGGTGTCCATCAGGGTCAGGCAACAGTTCCTGCTTTTCTGTGTAACATTAAAATTATTCATGTCTGCAAACAATGAAATTTTTCTATCTACACAGTAAAATCTGTGAGGACAAAGGATTGTAGACATTAAACTATATAAAAAGGTGTCTTTTTTTTCTGTGATAATGAATCTAGAATAGAAAAAAGCTTAAAAACCACCACCAACAACAAAACAACTATTTTAAGGTCAAAGAAAAACAACTCTGATTACAATTCTAAAGATAATCTAAGAGCTGTTTATAACAGCGCCTTCTCTACTAATCTACCCAGGCAGAGATTTTCTAAGGATTTTTTTTTTTTTTCCATAAAACATGCTAATGTTGGGCTGCCTGACCCAATTTACCAAGAAACATGCCTCAGTTATTTGGTGCATTAAACCGAACCCAACAACTCTGTCCCTCTTCCGTGAATTCCCCAACTTGTGTCCAGAAAAAAGAATAACATCATCTTTTAGAATTCAACAATTGTAGCACTTCTGGAATAAGCAGACTGTCATTACTTTGCAAACCTCCAGCAACTTCATGTTAGGTATGCAGGCTTCGTTCATTATTTCCACTTTTTGACATCTTGAAGGTGTATACTCAGGTTGTTAAATTTAGGGATATTAATTCTTGAGGGATATTTATTAACAAAAACCTGGCTATTTGATACAGAACGTTGCCACTTGCTGTGTTTCTAAGCTATGAAAAATTTCCCACCTCAGATAAATTATACTCCTCACCCTCACAGCTAACTTAAAAATTATGTAAATTACCCAGATGAACAGAAACAATTCACAATTATAACATTGTTAAATGAATTAGATAACAATGACTATAGCTTCCCAATCGTAGTTTGAGACAGATAGATTTGTACTTTATTGATAGCAAGAGCAGAAAGCTCTGATCACTAAATGCCAGCACAGTCTGGTTTCTGTAGGGTAATGACCCATCTCTATATTCAGAACAACAATCTCATTCATCATAATTCACATTATAAAAAAAAAAAAAGAACTCTAGTCAAGCTAATGGAGGAAACGTGTGAAAAGTGATTGGCTGGGTAGAACTCTGTATGCAGCTGGAGGGTCCTAATTGATTACATTGTGCTGCAACTAAGCCTTCTGCCTAGTACATCAGATCTTTATCTAACTGCATTTCAATTGATTTTCACTGATAGTCTTCTTTCTTATGTCTAAGGCTTAAAGTACTAAACTAATAAAAGGATAAAAGACTTTGTAATACAGATTTCAAAATATAATGTTTGAGCAGGACTTTCATGGAATTAAGATGGCAGTCTGGTGTATAGCCCACCAAACCTACAAGAGCCACAATCTGTGAATTTGGGGGGTAATTAAAACAAAATCTTTAGGATTTGAGTCTGTATTTGAAGAGTTCAAACAAAACACCAACCCAAACATTGAAAGACAAGGGATCTTTCTATTCATGGCTTGCTGGTGAACAATGTGAGTTGAAGAAGAAAGAGATGACTTAAGGGACAGAAATCAATGAATAAACATTAAATTGTTAAACAGTTATGCTTACAGAATGACTGCTTGATAAATTAGATAGTCAACAAGTGCCTACTGTTCATTTTATGATAAAACCAAACAAACCAAATCCTTGCCATCGAGTCAATTCCAACTCATAGTGACCCAACAGGACAGGGCAGAACTGCCCCATAGGGTTTCCAAGGAGTGGCTGGTGGATTTGAATTGCTGACCTTTTGGTTAGCAGCCAAATGCTTAACCACTTCACCACCAGGGCAGAAATGCAGGAATGAAGCTTATCCATTTAGTAGCTGTTACAAGTGTTCTTAATACACCCATTCTATTGGTTTTGTCCAGAATCAAAATGCTCAAGATTTGGTTTTCTCAATCAACGGTGATGGGTTTGGAAACAAGTCAGAGAATGGGTAGACAATATTCAACTTTTAGTTGGAACACTTATTGGATTAACTAGTACACTAAACCAAAAATCTGAAAAAACATTGCTGGGCAGAATTTAGAATGAGGGTATACACATCCATCCTTGAGAAATTATTTTGACAACTTTATTGAGATTTAATAGACATATAATAAACTACATATTTAAAGCGCATCATTTGATGAGTTTTGACATATGTGCACATTCATGAAACCACCACTACAATGAAGATAATGAACATATTCACAATTCCCAAAGGTTTCCTCATGCCCTCTGGTTATCTATCTTTCCTCTCATCCATATCCAGGAAACCGTACTCATTTGCTTTCTAGCAACATAAATTAGTTAGCATTTTTTAGAATTTTGTAAAACTGAAACCACACAGTATTTTCTGGTCTGGCTCCTTTTACTCAGATTACATAGTTACACTGAGATTCATCAATGTTACTGCATTTATCAAAAGTTCACTCCTTTTTACCACTGAGTAGTATTCCATTGTATGGGTACACCACAACTGGTTTATCCACTTACCTATTAATAGGCATTTGGATTGTTTCTAGCTCTTGACTACTACAAATATAGCTGGTATTGAACTTTCAGGTACAAATCTTTTTATGGACATATGCTTTTATTTCATGTTTAACATTGTAAGAAGCTGGCAAACTGTTTTCCAAAGTGTTTGTATGACTTTATATTCCCACCAGCAGTGTATGAGAGCTCCAGTTGCTCTACAACCTCACCAACCCTAGGTATGATCAGTATTTTTAGTTTTAGACAATCTGATTGTGTACTGGAATCCCCCTGTTGTTTTGATTACTAATTCACTAAAGACTAATGATGCTGAGCATTTTTTCCCATCTGCATTTCTTCTTCGGTGAAATCTGTTCAAATCATTTGCCAATTGTTTTTCTTTGGTTGTTTGCTGTTTTATTATTGAGTTTGGAGGATTTATATACTTCTATATTCTGGATACAAACCCTGTATCAGACATGTAACTTGAAAATATTTTCTCCCAGTGTGTGGCTTGCATTTTCATTCCATTAATGGTATTTTAAGAAGAACAGAGGCTAAGAAACTAAAGTTTCATTGATTTTCTTTTATTGTTTTTCTGTTTTCATTTTATTTTGATTTCCACTTTGAACCTTATACTAGTTTCTTAAGATGGAGCTAAAGTCATTGATTTGAGACTTTCCTTCTTTTCTAGTGTAGGAATTTAGTGCTATAAATTTCCCTTCAAGTACTGCTTTAGTACAGCTTACAACTTTTGTTATGTTGAGTCTTAATGTTCATTCAGTTCACTTATTCAGTAACGTCTACTTTCCCTTTTTATTTCTTAGATCCATGATTATTTAGAGGTATGTTAGTTTCTAAATATTTGGGAAATTCTCCGAATACTTTGTGGCTATTGATTTCTAATTTAATTCTATTGTGGTCAGAGAACACATTATTTAAATGATTTACGATTTAAATCCTTTAAATCTATTGAAGCTTACTTTATGGTCTAGAATATAGTTTATTTTAGTAAATAATTTTGTGTGCACTTGAAAAGGTGTCTTCTGCTGTTGCTGGGTGAATTTTTTTAATTTTTAAAAAAATTAATGTCAATTAGATTAAGTTGGTTATTAGTGTTACTCAAGTCTTCTGTATTCCTACTGATTCTGCCTACTTCTATCAGTTATTAAGAAAGGGATGTTGAAATATCTATCACTGTAGGTTTTGCTACTTCTGCTGGCAGTTCTATCAGTTTTTGTTTCAGATATATTGAAGCTCTATTTATCATCGGGCACATAAACATGAATTGACCCCTTTATCATTTTGAAATGTCTCCTTATTCCATAATAATATTCTCTGCTCTGAGTTTACTTTATTAACATAGCCATTCCTGCTTTCTTTTGATTAGGGCTAGCATGATACAGCTTTATTTCCATCCTTTTACTTTTAACCTATTTGTGGGTTTCTTGTAGGCTGGATATAGTTGAACTTTGCTTTTTTATCCAATCTGACAATTTGTTTTTTAATTTAGTGTTTAGATCATTTAGATTTAACAAGATTTTTGATGTTGAGTTTAAACTTACCATCTTGCTACATATTTTTTATTTGTCCATGTCTTCTTTCTTCCCTTTTATCTTTATTTTTCTGCTTTCTTTTAGATTAAATGAATATTTTTATGATTTCATTTTACCCCGTTTTGATTTATTAGCTATAACTGTTATTTTAGTGGTAGCTTTATGGTTTATAGCATATATCTGTAACTTATGAAAGTCCACTTTCAAGGAATATTATGCCACTTCATTTATATATAGTGTAAGAACTTTACTACATGTGCTTCCATTTCACCTTCCCTAACCATTCTGCTATAGTTGTCATATATCTTTCTTCTACATATGTTAGAAACCTCCAATACATTGCTATGATTATTGCTTTAAAAGTCAATTGTCTTTTGGAGAGATTTAAATAATAATAATAAAAAAGTCTTTTTATTTACCCATGTACTTACTAATTCTGGTACTAGCCATTCCTATGTGCAGATGCCGATTTCCATATGGGGTCATATTCCTTCTGCCTGGTATTTCCTGTCGTGCAGGTCTGCTGTTAAAGAATTCTTTTAGCTTTTGTATGTCAAAGTAAGTCTTGGTTTTGTCTTAGTGTTTGAAATATATATATACATTTTTGGGTATAGAATTCAAGGTCAACAGGTTTTTGCTCTGAGTACTTTAAAAATATTGCTCCACTGTTTTCTAGCTTACATTGTTTGACAAGAAGTCTGCTGTCATTCTTATGTTTGTTTCTCTGTGTGATGTGTCTCTTTGCTGTTTTTGCTTTTAATATTTTCTCTTTATTCTTGGTTTTAAGCAATCTAATTATGATGTGCCTTGGTATAATTTGTTTTCATGTTTCTTGTGCTTTTTGTTCACTGAGCTTCTTGGATTTGTTGGTTTATAGTTTTCATCAATTTGTATTTCTTTAAATATTTCTTCAAGTATTTTTTTCTGTATCCTTTTTTTATCTCTTCTCTTCTCCCACAAGGAATTCAATTACAAATAAATTAGGTTATTTTGAAGTGTTACACAGCACACTGACGCTCGGTTCATATTTT